GGGGGGGGAGTTCATTTGTATGTGATCTCCTTCTTCAACATCTTTTCAGTGTAGCTATAGTGTCGCATTGTGTAGCGAAGTGTGGTCAGGCCAGATTAGTTCACAAGTGTGTAATGAAGTTCCTACTTGACACTCGTCCATGTGCACCCCGCCCACTGCCATGCTGGTTAGCACTATTATGGCATGGTCTGATCCCTCCAGTTTGTATTTTAGTGTGACCATTTTCTAATGGAGAAATGACGGGTGTTTGGAGGGTGCCAGCAGTAGGTCGTGCCTTTTCCTCTCCCTCTGTTGTTTCTGTCTTTTGGTCTTCACTTTTCCTAGATTAAAACAATTTATTATGTCAGTGGGCTTCTCTTTTCCGAAACTCATACCTGATCAAATGTAAGATAAGACATGTATTGTCCAGATGCTGGCTGGTTGGGTTGATGTTTAACCGAACAGACACATGCGCGCATGCGAACACCCATATACACCTTTCAAATTATTATTATTATAGTTTGCCATGTGTAAGCAATATTGTATGAGTGGGTGGTTAGCGGGTGCTCTGGTGTGGTTTGCTCCTTCTTTCCTATCAAACATCTATCGTCCTTATCTCCCCTTCTTCTTTTTTATGTTTGTTACTCTCTTGTAACACCTCTAATCTTCTGGCGCTCATATGACGTTATGCAGTTGCGAGCGCCGTAAAACCTCTACTAAAACTAAACTAAACATAAGTGTAAGATGCAAACCCTATTGTATTGGAATAAGAATGCTTGTGATAGTTAAGTGCTTATTGTCTCAAGTATATATATTTTTAGTTGGATGTGGTCAGTGGATAATGTAATGACTATTTTTTTCTATTTTTGTCTCTCCAGCTTCAATCCATGTTCAACAAATACTCTGGTGAAGTTGTGACCATGAGCAATCCAAACAGCGAAGAGCGGAAAGTTTTCTTCCAAGACCTTGTAATGCGACAAGCCAGCAGACCCCCACCACAGAAGAAACAAGCTGGTGAGTATTCTTGGGCTGGTCTGACTGCCAATGGACAGTGGCCTTCTTTAGGTAGAATCTTTTACACGGGCTACTGTCAGCCAGTCTATGAATTTCTTCCCATCTCTTTTGCTCTTCCGTCAGTGGCAGGTCTTTCTGTGGATTTGTCCATGCTTGGAAATCCCAGTGTGAATTGCTCTAATTCTGTTGAAGTTGTGTTGTGCTGGGACTTTTCCCTTCTTTTCTCCTCTCTTCCATCAATTTGTCCTGTCTTCCTTTCTCTATGATGGCAGCTATAATGCTTATACGTGCAGATCAGCTCTCTCTCTTTGTCTCTGTCTCTCTCTGTCTGTCTGTCTGTCTGTCTGTCTCTCTCTCTCTCTCTCTCTCTCTCTCTCTCTCTCTCTCTCTCTCTCTCTTTTTCTCTGTCTGTCTGTCTGTCTCTCTCTCTCTTTCTCTCTCTCTGTCTCTGTCTGTCTCTCTCTCTCTCTCAAGCAGACAACGAAAGATCGCCATTGGCCGATATTTATAGTAACAGCCATCTTGTTTGACGTCATTGAGGGATTCCACTTTGTCATTCATGATGACAACTGAGATTATTTTCTTTGCAACTTGCAGAACTGCTTGGTTCGGTTGTAAGTGATTGTGCAGCACCCTTCTTCTGCCCAGATTGATTCTGATGTTGTACACTACGTAAACCGAGAGGAAGAAGAAGACTAAGAGTAGGCCTACGTACGAAAGCAAGTTCAAACAAAGTTCAACGATGCAGCGCAAGTGATCTACCATTTCGATTCAGATAGTTTCTTTTAAAGTTTTGTAAGGACAAGAAATTAAGAACTTACAAGAGATTAGACTCAATAGGACGCTGAGCTGGAGTAGATCTTATTCGAGACTGCAAGGTTTGCAAATCAATACTGTGAGGTGCAAAAGCTGTATACTAGGGGGAACCACTGGGAAAGACTCAAAGCTTGGAAACTGCCCGTACAAATCGCGTGCCAGATCTACGCAAAATCATCACTATTTTTTAAATCACGATCAGATGACGCGGCGGGCATCCCCCTTCGGAGGTCAAACAAGATTGCTGTTACTATAAATATCGGCCAATGGCGTTAAGTTGTCGTTGTCTAGCTATCCTCTCGTCTCTCTCTCAATGAAACCGTTTGTTTGGTTGCTCTGTCTTGTGCTCCCCCTGTTGATTCTTACTTGCTTTTGGCCAATGTTCTTCACTGCTCCCATCATGAGTTCACCACTCAAAGTTCAATCTCATCGAACTTCGTTATCATTTCTTCTAGCTAAAAGGCATTTTTTTCATTAGCGAGTATTGATTCCAGTGGCAATTTCTATTTCAGATGAAATAGTAAAGCTATTGGAAAATAGTAAGAAAGCAAAGACTTGCAATTTCTTACCATCTAATCACAAAAGATTGAGAGCAAAGAGAAATCGTAAAATGTCATCTCCATTGCCAAATTATGTGTATCCATTTGGTGCTGAAAATGTACTAGAAACTTGCAGTGTTGGGGATAGAGCAGAGACAAAGTCTCCCAGGTGTGTTAAAAAGATTTGGCCTAATTCACGGCCACCCCCTGCTGACAAGGACATGAGTGAGGGAAGGTGGCAGTGGTCCAAGAGGAAGTCCTGCAGGAGAACCCCGGGACAGTGCTCACTTGTGAAAGCGTCACCAGCCTCCACTCATGGTATGACCCTCAGGTCACGTGTCAATATACAGAGGCTTAACAGCAACCAGTCGGCCCGAGGCAGGGGCTGGAGATGTCACAGTGTTGTTTATACCTCACACAAGTCTGCTGTTCCATCAAAACAAAGGGGTGCATTCAAGGAGCCTGTTGCTCTATCGAGGGGAGCCCAGTCTTCAAAGTCGTGTACAAGTCATAGAGTCTGGAGCCTCTCTGACCGACACAAACGTTATCTCCGCCGTCTTCACAAACTAGAGGAAAAGCTAGCTGAAGTAGGCCCCTCCCACACACATGAATGTTTTGACCCCCAATATCGCAACAGCCACTGCTCCCTGACCAGCAGACACCAGCGTTACGTTCGGCGTCTTGAGAAGCTACAACGGCCTTTGGGGGTCTGGGCCCAGGCTGGCAACAGATGTATACTGCCAAGTTCTCACATGTCTGTGAGGTCTGCAAAGAGTTCTCACCATAGCTCGGTATTTTCTTGTGGCTCTTTTCAAATGCTCTACAAGACAGAAGAAGGTGACCATGACTATGGAGAGTTAAGTGACGGTGACTCTGTGTTGCCGGTGAACCTGAGAGACCTGTGCCCAGACAGACTCCAGGATGCTCCTCACTCAAGCAAACAGTGGACACGGCTGCACAGTGGGCTCCACAAAAATAGGTGTTGTAAGACAAAACGTGTCAAGACTGAACCCACAGACTCTCTGGTGTCCAAGAGACATCCAAGATACAATCTACGCCTTCAGACATGGCTGCACCCAGGGGGTAACTGCCGTTGTGCCAGCAGTTTTGAGTCATGCGTCTCTCTTTCTTTGTTCTGCAGTTTTCCCATGATAGTTTTCTTGTTTCTGTTTTGCTTTAGCTTGAGGCTGTTCTCCACCTCGGGGACTGCTGATTAGTATTCTTCATTATGGAGTGATCCACTCGTTTTGACCAGTGTTTTGGTCATTCTTGGCTCTTAACAAGCAGCTCTGAAGATTTTTTTAAAATCGGTGTTTTTTGTAATTCCTAATTCAGTATTTGCTGTGTGGCACACTTGTTCTTTGTTTCATTTTGTTTCATTGCTTTGACTTTCACAAGACCAGGGAAGAGTTGGTTTTTTGGGAGATGCAGTACAAGTGTTGGGGTTTTTTTTGGGTATTTTTCATTTGTGTTGTTTGTACTCATCGCCTATTAAGCTACAAAATAGTCCTCTTGTATAAAATGACCTTACAGGAAATCAGTTTTAGGGCATTGGTTAAGATTTTCATGTGTGTTGTAAAAAAGTTTTTCTTTTGTTTTTGACCACTCTCAAGGAAGTTTTTCGCTCTTATGGCTATGGTATTTCTTTGTGAAATATGAGCATGGTTGTGAAGGAGTAAAGCATAAAGCCAACAGTGTCAAACTCTGAGTGGGTTAGGGCTATTTTGCTTTGTGGCAGTAACAAGTTGTGTGAACCCTTTGCTTGTATACATGTTAACTGTGTGTTTTCAGCTCAGCGTATGCTGGAGGTACTTCCCAAAGCTGTGGCCAACAAACCTCGTGAGCTGAACAAGGAGGAGCTGAAGCAGCTAATGGAGAAAGAGGAACTCACTCTGATGGAGCTGCGCATCTTTCTCAGGGACGTGCTCAACAAGTTGGGCGGTGACAAGAAGTTCTCCATCTTCGCTAAACCGGTTGACATTGATGATGTAAGATATACTGCTTGTTCTGATAGCTCTGCACTTGCTCTCTTTCCTGGGTACGACTTACATAAGATGTTACTGTCACCATGCAGCAGATTTTTTAACACATTTTTCAAGAACCTGGGCTCTTCTTTGTATTGTTTGTAGTTCATGCTCTGACCTTATTCTGTCACCGTCATGAATATTTGTTTTATGTTATGAATAGATACCATTGTGGGTGGTTGGCGTGTACTCTGGTGTGGTTTGCTTCTTCTTTCCTATCAAACATCGATCGTCCTTTTCTCCCCTTCTTCTTTTTTATAACTACTCTAATCTTCTTACGCTCATATGACCTTATGCAGTTGCGAGCGCTGTAAAACCTCTAGTAAAACTAAAACATGAATATTTATTTTATGTTATGAATAAATACATTTTTCTTGAGCCACTCCTTTTCACTCCTCAAATCTTTTTGGTTTGAAAGGAATAATTTGACATCGCTTTGACCTCCTTTTTCACAACACTGAGACTGAAATATTTCTTCTTGTATGCGTTTGCTGCAGGCACCAGACTACTATGAGGTCATAGAGCAGCCTATGGACCTGTCTACAATGATGTCTAAGATTGACCTCCATGAGTATGGAACGGTCTCAGCCTTCATGAAAGATATTGACCTGGTCTGCTCTAACGCTCTGGAGTACAACCCAAACAGGGGCCCAATGGGTAAGAAAAATTTCTTCAATAATGCTTTGATACTTTCTGATTTAGGAATTTAGGGGCTCCAGGGGCTGAGTGGTCAATGAGTTCAAGCTCACAGAAATGTCAAGCAATATGCTTTGTGCATACGGTTTTTACTCAAATTTCCTAGATTTTAATGAAAGTGGTGTACAGGCCATTCTCAAAAATAGGCTTGAAAAAATTGCATTAACCCAAGTTTTTGAACTCATTTGTGCAGTGTGTACTGGGTTTATATGATCTAAGAGGGCTGTCTTGGGCTTTTCTATTAGAATAAAAAGGTGTTTAGTGGGTGGTTGGCGGGTGCTCTTGTGTGGTTTGCTTCTTCTTTCCTTTCAAACATCTATCGTCCTTATCTCCCCTCCTTCTTTTTTTGTGTTTGTTACTCTCTTGTAACATCTCTAATCTTTGACACTTATATGACCTTTATTGTGTTGCTGGTGCCGTAAAACACTTACTAGAACTAAACTAAAAAAGGTGTTGTTTTTTTTGTTGTTTTTTTTACCATTGCTCAGAGCTCTCTTAATTCAACAGTACATATTTTCTGGTAATGTTGTCGTTGTATTGAGTTGGTTTTCTGTGTGTTATGATGGTGTGTTATGATGTTACAGAAGACCTCCTTGTTCATGAGTGAATTCCACTGTAATTTTTATATGTGAAGGGAGCTGACAAAATGAGTTACTTCTCGGATTCGAGACCTATGCAAACAGATACGCCACACTTATAGGTAAAGTTTTTTCAATTTATAAGTATGAAATAATAAAAGGCTTATTATTTTTAAAGAATATGGCACCAATAGAAAATCAACAAATTAGACTCTTGAGTCAATTTTTGGCCAATATCTCCATTTGTGGATTGGGAGAAGTAACTCAGTTTGTCAGCACGCCTCACATATACTGTTGTATTTCCAGATCGGGTCATAAGACATAGAGCATGTGCTTTGAAGGACACAGCCTACGCAATCATCCGGACAGAGCTTGACAAAGACTTTGAAAAAATGTGCATGGAAATTGAAGAGTCCAGAAAGAGAAGAGGTAAGTGAAGACGTATGTTACTGGACTTATTTGTCTTGACATTTGCTGTTCTTACTATGTGTGCTGTGTTTTAGTTGTGACCTGTGTACACATTTCACACACTTGTGCTGGATCCCATGTACTTTCAGAATGCACTTTATCAGATGATGTCTTCAGTGCTTTTCCTGTGTAATCTACAGGAAGTGGTGAGCCAGCAATTAAATCATAATTTCATTCAGCTGAATTTTGGTTGTGTTTTATACAGTACTTTTTTAGTTCTGCATGCTAAAACAACTTTCCTAAAAACTGAGATATAGCTTTTTTCAATTGAAGAACAAAATCAGCACTTTGTGATTGTGAGAGTTCAGATGGTGACCAGAAAACGTAAACGGAATATAAGCTCTGACACTCAAATTAGAAGTCTATAACTCTGGAGAAAAAAAAAGACCCAGAACATGATCCAGAAGTTGCCTCGAGATGTGGGAGCAGTTGTTCAGATTGCCAACAGTTGAATGAAGGTAAGAATCAGAATGGTAAAGATATAAGTGAGATTGCTTCTTTATCCAAATCCACGCCAAGTACTACAAGTAGATCTGAATCTAGATAGTCGTTCTAGTGCCAGCAGCAGTAGCAGTACATGCACATCTAGTAATAGACCAAGAGGTCTGAGGAGGATGGTATCTTGTCATTATGGACTTCAGACAGACAGATGTGAGTTTGAACACTGTACAGATTCTGAGTCAGAACCAGAGTCAAATGGGGGTGATGTTGAACAAGTTGAAGAAAAAACTGACTGGCACAAAGGCATCAACTTCCCCAATAACCCAGCGTTTACAGGTGAAAGTGGAGTTACCTGAAGATGCAAGTGCAGTACATTGCTTTCTACTTTTTTTTAATGACACTTTGCTGAAACATCTAAAGCAAGAGATAAACAGTCATGCAGCGGAATAAAGCGGGTCAAAAGGCTATGTATATATTATTATATTTGGATTTGAATAATATGCTGGAGACCCGTCAATCAGTAGCACATCTACACATGTTGTGCTGAGGATGGTAGAGCCCTTATTTTACAGACAAATACTACTTCTGTCCATTTCTGTTGGAGGAATTAATCACTTGAACGACAATGTACTCAGGGACAGTGAGGGCAAACAGACTAGGTATGCCCAAGGGCCTGAGTACTAAACTACTCAAAGTTAGAGAAACAGACTACATTTACAAATGTTGGTGCACTAAAAATAGCCCAGGCTCAAGTGAAAGGTAAATGTGCTTTCGAATGTTATTATTTTATTTTATTGTGAAATGCAGAGAAAAGCGAGGCCTTATGCTTTGACGTAAAGGGCCTGATTGCAGCAGGTCCTGACATTTTGTTATTGCCATTGTAAAGTAGGTTTGTTGTCTTCTTTCACAGGTCAAAAATCTTTGGATGTCCCCAACTTTTACTACACAAAGCCAGTGAACCAACAGGGCTCATCACGAGCTCAGCAGTCTGGCAGCTTGCCCAGCTACCTGGAGAACCCCAAGCCTGTGCGCACCATACACAAACCCGAGGGAGAGCGGTACAGCCGCAGGGTACGAGGTTTGAACATTGACCCCACTCCGGCCCTGGAGTCTGTGGAGAAAGTGTACCGCGCTGCTCGTTCGGGCTCCTCCCCGACCAGAGACAATAAGAACAACTCCAGTGGGGGCACTGAGCTGGAGGGCAACACACCGGGGCAAAGTCTGGAGACTGAGGTAGACAAGGCTGTTGGAGAGTCTAATGTCAGCAAAGATGTGAAGCCTAACCCCGCCCCCAAAAAGAGTCATATCAGCAGCGGTAGCAGCAAGTCCCAGCCCAGCAGTGCCAACCCTAAGAGGTCGAGGACCACCAAGTGTGTGTGGTGTAAGCCCAAGCGCAAGCGTCCTCGTCTCATGTTTTCCCGTCACCCACTCAGACGGAAGAGTATGGAGGAGGAGACAGAGGTTGACCTGAGCCAGGGGGAGGAGGACAGCCGTGTCACAGAGGCAGCCACACCCACTGGTCGGCCAAGTGCCACCACTGTCACGCCTTGTTCCACTACCACTACCACCACTGTCACGCCTTGTTCCACTACCACTACCACCACTGTCACGCCTTGTTCCACTACCACCACCACTGCAGTAGAACAGCAGCTTAGCATTGAAGTCTCAGAACACAGCAGTAAGTACTCTTTATTTTTCTCGGTGTTCATTGCGTATATGTGAGCCAGCGTGGTGGAATCAGGCTCTCATCAAAATAATCAAAGTGAAGAAACTTGCATTTTTCCGCAGGTTTGTGATTTTTTAATCGAATTTTTGTTTTTTGGATCAACACCTTTCATGCCTATTAAAGAACTCATTTCTGTGTGAATTTTTCTGAAAAATGTTGCTTAAAGGCACATGAAATGTAAATTTTCTGTTACCACAGACTCTTAAGCTAAGCAAACAACTAATCTTTGGCAGCCCTTCTCTCACTAATTTTACCTCTGAAAACAGGTGACCCCCACCTCCTTCTTTTGTAAATATCTCAACTTGTATATAAGATAAATGGATATTTTTTCATCCAAAAAAAGACAAGTGAACAAACTTTAAAGATGATACTAATAACTCTACATGCCCAAAAATTGACGACAGCCTGATTCCACCACGCATTTATGGGGTGTTTAGTTTCAATTGTTCCTGGCTTTAAATAGTCTCCTCCCTGTTCCAGATTTCAGTTTTGTTTGGTTCCCGTTCAGGTTTTTAAGTCAGTTTTGTGAGCTTTTTATATTCAAGATAAATATTAGCAAACGTTGCTCGTTTTGTTCAGTCCCCTTGTGAAACAAATATTAATTTTTGTCTGTGGGTGGTTGGGGGTGCTCGGGTGTGGTTTGCTTCTTCTTTCCTTTCAAACATCTGTCTCTCCCCCCCCCCAGCGGTGCCACTGACTGAAGTGTCTTTTGGCCATTGCCAAAGGGGGGACATTTCTCGTTCATGCACAGTAGAATTGTAGACGGGCTGACTCATGTCACGCTCATAACTGTGCCTGATCTACAACAGGGAACTGCTGCTTTTTCTTTCCTGATCCTTACTATTGTCATTTTTCCTTTACTTCTTTTGTATGTTTGTCACACTCTTGTGACCTGTTATTTCCGGGGTGCCTTGAAAGTCGAAACAGACTTTGTGCTATTGAAACTAGAGAGGTGAGCAGAGTGAGCCTGATTCCCTGTAAAGACTTCTCTGTTGACATCCACCTCTTGGTGCTCATATGACCTTTATGCAGTTGCGAGTGTCGTAAAACGTCTACTAAATATAAATAAATATAAACATCTGTTGTCCTTATCTGAATGTCTCCCTCGCTTCTTTTTCGAGTTTGTTTTCGCTTGTAACATTTCTAATCTTCGGCACTTATATGACCGTATTGTGTTGCAAGTGCCGTAAAACTTACTAAAACTTAATTTTTGTCTTTTATGATACGGACTTCACGGTTAACTCAAGTTTGTTCTTTTTTGTGTGTGTGCTTAGGTGAGTCCAAAGAACTGAAAAGTCCTCAGCGCGTGTCCAGCCGTCTGCGCAGTCCTGTACTGGGCAATCCTGTTGGGGTTACCACACGTCGGAGCAGCATGAGCCCCCGCGGGGCTGGCTCTGTAGTGGGGAGCCCAACTACCTCTGGTGCTGTGGAGGCCAGCCTGGTGGAGGAGGAGGAGGAGGAGGTAGTAGACACACTGGCAACTCCAGTGCAGGAGGAAACAAACTCTTCCGCTCAAGCCCTGCTCTCCTCTTCTCAAAACAAAGGTAAGATAGTGCTGAAGCTCACTACTAGCTGTATTTTTTGTACAAGACTGTTGCAGGCATCACTTTGTTTTACACTGTACTGATAATAATATAATATTGATCGAAAGCCTGTGCACAGATTGTTTAAAGAAACTTCCTGTTCTCACAGGTCTAAAGGAATTGTACAAGTGTGTACATGTAGTGTTGTCCTGTTCTAAGCATATTTTCAGTAGTGATATGCAGATATGATTACTGCCGGGTCTGGGGACAGGTTTTGAAAATGTTAACTGTAAGAGTCTTCAAGATGTTTACTGCATGTTTCTCCTGTGTTTTGTTCAGTAGCTAGTCAAGAGAGAGAGCCTCTGGTGTTGCCCTCTACCTCTGTGAGCCCTGTGTGTGGAGAGAAGCGCAGCGTGGTCAAGCGTCTGGACCTGGAGGCTGTGACGGTGGACAGTGGTGTGGGCAGCTCAGTGGACAGTAATGGAGACTCGCGTGACAGCCTGGAGCACAGTTCTAAAGAGGTTAGTCAATGGCATGCTCTGGGCCAGGTTGTGCATGATGGAGAAATGGTGCTAGTGTCACACAAGTCACTCCACTTTCTAGTTATGTGCAGGGTTCCCACTCTACTGGGAAATCAGGTAAAAGCCAGGAATTTCTTTTTCAGATTTCCTGGTTGGGAAAACACCATGAAAATGAATGGAAACGAAAATATACGGGAGAAAGCCAACAGTCAATAATTAACACCACCCCCACCCTTTTTTTTTCACAATTCAATGAAGAGCCTGTTTTCCTATCTCTTTCATCTTGAAAAACAATATCACTTTGACAAAAATGATTACAGAATCCAGGAGACAACTGAGAAAAAAACCTGGAACTTTTTTCTTCTTGATGAGTGGGCACTCTGTACATGACATGTGTATGCTGTTGTTGAAAGTGGAAAGGCTTCTGTGATAAACACAAGGGCAATACATTGTCACTGAGAACGGCAGTTGCCAAATTTAAGCCAAGTGCTCTCTGATCCTCCGTGACACCAGATGCATAGTTTCTCTAGTTGTGCCTCATGAGATTGTGGTTGGTACGTTTAGTTGGGTGTCTCATTATATCATGACCTTTGTGAGTTTAGGTGTTCATCATTCTATTTTTTTTTAAATTTGAAATTAAAATAAGTTGCAATTTTTTTCTGTAGTTCTCAAGTACACTTTTGAAAGGTTCAGAGATTAAAAAGAGTCAAAGATAGATACTCATAGTGGTCCCAAAGTGTATGTGTGTGCATATTGGCGACAAGTCATGCCTTGTTATTTGTTGATGCAGTGAAGTGTTATTTTGTAGAGACGGGCGGGAAGCGCTTTTTCCTTCCCGAGCGAGAAGCTGACCTACTTCCCGCCGGGACCGGTCCCGAGAACGAGAAAAAACTTCCCGTCTCGTGTCTCAAGCAATGCTTCTCGTCTCGTGACCAATTTCTCTTCTCGCCCTGCAGTTTGAGCCACTCGTTCAGCGAGAAGGCCGGCCGTGGCCGAGATTTCTCTTCTCGCCCCACAGTACGAGCAACTGGTTTAGCGGGAAGGCCGGTCGTGGCAGGGATCTAAACTTAGAAACTTGGCTTGCCCTGTTGCGCTGGCGCAGGCGATGAAGGAAGGTAGGGAGACCAAGGCCTAGGCCCTGATCAACTCCCCACTCGCCTCGTCTCGCCACCCTCTCCGCTCCCTTTCACGTTTCACACACAGGACAGCACGGTGATGGGGGGCACTGTCTGCGTTGTCATTTCTCGCCTCTCACTCTCTCACTCTTGTTACTGTTACTCGTTATGTCAAGCCAACGATCAGTATCACGTCTCGGTACCGAGCAGTAGTTTAGTGCTCGGGCAGAGACGGGAAGGGCGTTTCTCGCGAGAAACGAGTACTCGACTCGTCTCGTGCCCGCCCCTATTATGTTGCAATGGGAAGAAAATTATGGCTCTTTTGTGTAGTAATAATGCTCATGTTTTTCTTTTGTTTGTTTTTTCTACAGGCGCCCTGTAAGACACCGGAGACTCAAGAAATAAATGGTGAGCAATGTAACTGGTTCCTGTTATTGTTAAGTGTGGCTAGAAACTTGTGTCCAATGTGGACTACTGTTTGTGGCTTCAGACCAAACAATTGACAAAGATGTTCAGTGCTTCCAATCTTCCGTACTTTAATGGAAATTCATACTCTCTGAAAGTTTTTGTATCTTGCCCTCCCCCCCCAATCCATTCATTATCAACTCCATCTGATCCACAAACGGTGCGACATCATAGAGCTACCAATATTCCACAGCAATGGATAGATACTTGCCTCCATATAATCTCAGACCAGATAAGTTCCAGATATTTAGAGTAATTCTCACTCATTTATCCTCGGATGCACTGCGCATTTTCTGCCCTTGGCCATTATCCCTCTATGCACTCATTGCAGGTTGGTCAGCAATACATTTTTACCTGCAAATCGGTCAAAATCTGGTTAATCACAATCATGATATTTTTGTGCCAATTTTCTTTCTTCTTTCATTCACTCACTCATTCTTTCTGTCTATCTTCAGGTCTTTGCTGCAGTTGAAAATATGTGCATTGATCAAGGAAACTGAATTGTGATTCTTGAAAGAAACTTTTTTCAAATCTGTCCAAATCTAAAGTATCTTAGGGAGTAGGATAAAGGCTGTGGTGAAAGAAATCGATGCTGAAACTAAAGCGAATAACAAGAATAATTGAAAGTGTTCCTCCCAGATTGTGATATTTGACATTTGTGATTTAAACATGAAAATGGAGAAAAATTAGGGCACAGGCTGTTTCGCCAAGATACATGTTCCCAGATTGGCCTTCTGTCAATGGTGCAATGACAATTTGAATTATAGTGGCCTTGGTATGGGGAACTTGGGAACTGTCTTTTAAATATTGCCATCAATGGAAAGATACATAGAAGATGAAGAAATCAAAGAGACGATGACAAAATTGGTATCATAGGTTGTTAGAAAATCTATTCAGACTCTAAATTGCCATTTTCAACCCTCTAAAAGCACTCAATTTTAATTTCTTCGCAGCCTGTTATGTTTGAAAGGTGAATCAAAGTGAATGAGATTTAAAAGAGCAACCCATTGTACTTTACACATGGATAAATGATGATGTATTTCCAGATACCAACCAGAACTGTAATGCTGAGCTGAAGCTACGGGCCAATGCCATCCTCCAGGAGAGTCCCCAGAAGCTGGTGGTGGACACCCAGCGGCTCCAGGCTTTGCTGCAGAGACTGGTGACCCGCACGGAGGGCTTCACAGTGGAGGGTTTGGAGAAACTGTACAGTCACCTCAGCCAGGTCATCTACAGGCACCGGCATGAGTACAACAGGACCACCATGATCCTGGTATGTACTTCCATACACCTCAACTCATAGGTTTTCTCTTTCTCTCTGTGTCTCTCTTGTCTATCTTGCTCCCTCTTTCTTCCTCTCTCCCTCCCTCCCCCCTCTCTCTATCCACATTTCCTGTGGTGGCCTCCTCCGTTCAATTGCTTTTTAACTGCATCGCTACTCAAATCATTGCAATTAGTCAAATACTTTTAAAGTGTTGGAATTTTTAAACTCTGCCACTTGACAAAGATCAAGGGGGGGACTATGTGGAACCTGGAGAAGAGTCACAAAAAATTGATGTACAGGAAAGTGGGAAGACATGGAATAACCGAGTCTGGATAGGGAAAAGTGGAAATTGTTTGTTGGTGGCCTATACCTTGGTCCAGGGTGAGAAAGGCAATCATGTTGATGATGCCATTTGACAGTTTTTATAAAATTATCCCAAATGTGACAGTTCTGAGAAATTGTTCAAGAAAGACATTACCAGTCCCAAAACCCTTTTTTTTGTGTCTAGTGCATCAATTTACAGCTATTTATTTGGATAAAATTATGATCTTTTGGTGAGAAAAGTTTCTCATTTTTTGGCCCAAAAGTCTTTGCCTCAGGATCTTACAGGAACACGAAATGTTTAAAGGTTTAAGCGATTGCTTGACTCATTTGTTCATTGTTAGTTATAGTGTGTTAGTAGGTGCTGATTTTTTAGTATTGTATACATCTACATATATATTTACATTTTTTAAACTGTCCTTTCGTGTATAGTTAATGTATGGTTGTGAAAGTTCTTCTTTATGTGAACTGGTTTTTCTTGCTTCTGTGAAATATTTTTTTCTTGTGTGAATGATTAAGTGATTGGTGTAAAGCGCTCAGAGCTTATACTGGTATGGGATAGGGCGCTATATAAATGCAATCTATTATTATTATTATTGCCTCACCCCCCGGGGCGGTGCCACTGACTAAAGTGTCTTTAGGCCATTCCCAAAGGGGAGACGTTTCTCGTTCTAATGCACAGTAGAATTGTAAATGGGCTGGTCTAACAATGTCATGCTCATAACTGTGCCTGAACTACAACAGGGAACTGCTGCTTTTTCTTTCCTAATCCTTACTATCGTCATTTTCTTCTACTTCTTTACCCGCTATTTCCTGGGTTCCTTGATAGTCGAAGCAGACTTTGTGCTGTTTAAGCTAGAGAGGTGAGCTGAGTAAGTCTGATTCCCTGTAAGGACTTCTCTGTTGACGTCCACCTCTTGGTGCTCATATGACCTTACGCATTTGCGAACGCCGTAAAACCTCTACTAAAACTAAAAAACTATTATTGCCAATGCTGATAGGGTTTATTTCAGGTGTTTGATTAATCAAGTTTTTGATTGTTTCTCAGAATCTTGAGAAGAAAGCGGAAGAGCTGACGAGACCTGTCCCATCAACATCATCCTCTCTGGGTCATTCCAGCGCAAGTGCTTACTGTTGACCTGCACCACCAGCCATCGGTGCCCTCTGTGAAGGATCTGACTGTTGTTAAACGTTTTGATTCACTTCTGGCATTCAGGGAGATTTTTATTTATTATACTATGTTACCGGTATATTCTATCAGGGGATGTGTGGTCTTTGATGGCTCTTGTTAGGAACTCAACGTCTTTCTGTAGTCCATACTATCGCTCACCTTGCTTTGTGTCCCCTGCCTGTTGGCAGCAATGGGAGTGTCTTGTAAACAGTGACAGTAACTTTTTCTTTTCTTTTTTTTTTTTTCCCCCCATTGTATTGATCCCTCAATGTCAACTTGAGTGTGTGTAGTGTGGGTAATACTGCCATTCTAGTTTGCGTCTAGAGAATGAGTCTACTTAGTTTGCGTCTAGAGAATGAGTCTACCTAGTTTGCGTCTAGGGAATGAGTCTACCTAGTTTGCGTCTAGAGAATGAGTCTACTGCAGTGCTCTGGCTGTCTGTAGATTTCCTTGACAAGTTATTTTTTCCCCAGTGTGAGATGACTTTCTCCCTCAGTTGGACTTGCTCAGGTTGTCACCTGAACATGCCAGCACTTTGCATCAACCCTCCAAAGTTTTATTTTGTTTGTTGTCTTACACAGCCTGTTCTGACATTTCCTTGACCGTTTAGTTTAGACAGAAAATGTGCTCAAGATGGCCACTTTAGCAGTAGACATAGCTTCACATTCTCTGGTTGCCTGTCAAGTCCTTAGTTATTGTGTGGAGCTTCAATTTGTGTTTACCCATTCCATTGGGAAAGACCTGTCCGAAATTGAACCACATGTCATGGACTACAACTTTTTTTCCTATTGTAGAGTGGCCGTCTTGTGCAGACGTAGCTGTATTATTTTTTTGTTGCATTGCCACCAGAGACCTTGTGTATGTTGAGTGTATTCAATGAGAAGCAAGTATTTGTGAGGAGTTTTTATGTTTGCCAGTTCTTTTGAGAGAGTCAGGTGATTGTTTTGTCAAATTAACTTGCTGCCTCTATGATTGTCTCTTTTTACATGAAATGTTTTTTTGTAACAGCTCCTGAGACTTTTTGTCTGTTAGTGTGTGTGTGGCTGTATGTTTTATTTGAAAAAATATGTTCATTTCTCATGTACTCTGCACTGTCTTAGTAACTCGCACCAACTCCTGAATACATTGGTCAAAGTGATGATGATGATGCCTGACTGGGTTACTGGTGCCAGGTTTAACTCAGCACCTTCCCTGTTGACCTTTTTTTTCTTTTGAATGATACTTCCAGATTGTTCACACTCTGGCACGTGCTTTAGCTTTTGGATACAGAAGATCACAAACTGTGTGTTTGCCTTGTTTAGAAATGTGTGTTCCACCTTTCCTATGGCAGCAAAACACTGGACACCTGTAGACCTTCAGGCTGAGGCAAAAGCCCTGCCTCCAAGCCCAGAACTATCCTGCACTCCTTCAAGGCAGCTCTGTGGAATGCCCGAGTTGTCTGCTTCACTATTCTGCTTCCTTGTTTGCGTATGCCTGCTGGGGCTGGGCCCTGGCCCCAGTCTGTTGGTTCTTACAGCTGTCACTGTTTGTTCTTTGTTCTTCCTCCCCGTGAGACCAGGGGATGACTGGTCTGTGTGCTAGTGGTGTGGCCTGGATGGTGGTTGTGTTTGTGTGCTCGTGTGGGTGTTGGACCAGGCCAACGGGCCACTCTTTGCCTCCTTGAAATACTGCCAGACTTTCTTAATATATTATATAATATATATATTAATGTCTTAATATCCTAAAGGCAAGCATTATTGTACTGTCAATGCAACCGTGTGATGCACCTTAGGTTATCATATTGTCAGCTCAATGTTATGGGATGTCGTTTATGTTGGTTCTCTGTATGAGTGAGTGTGACTAGTTTGTATCACTATGTTTTAGGATGAGGTCAACTGGTGTGTGTGTCTCTGTGATTGTTTGTTGTGTATAAACTGGTGCTGTGATGTGGTAGTGCCTAGCTGGAGAGAAAGCTGGTTAGGAACATGGCCTTTGTCGTGACTTGTTAGTTTTTCATCTTGAACAATGCTCAGCTGCTTCTGCATAATCCAGGTGCATTCTCCACTCCTGGCATGCGACACGGACTTGTAGGTGGACAGTAGGGTGCCAGTGATGTCTAAACACAGGCACAGGTCAAAGCCGGTCTTTTCTTTAGTTCCTTTAACTGCTTGTTGAACGGCTGACAGAACATTTGTGTTTCAGAATAAGCTTGTCTGCTTAATTTGGTTGCCCTCCTGCTGCAAGAGTAGCTTTAGTCTATCGTCATGTTGTTCAGGGCTGTGGGTTCAGCTGACACCTTTGGTTGTGTAGTAGAGGATGACTTGGCTCATGATGAGCTTCCATGACAAGAGTGGACGACAGATATTGGTTTGTTGAGTGGGAGGCTTCTGATTGTCTTTTGTTTTCCCCTGACCTCATTGGCAGCTTCTATTCTACTGATCTCAGCCTTTCTGGCCAAGAACCGCCGTGTCTTGTCTGTCTGTGCAGGCAGGCTACAAGGGAATGGAACAGCAAAGAGAACCATGATTTCTACCAGACTGACATGATCTACTAGACATAAATTCATCTTGAGGTGTGCCAGGTTTTGTGTGTTGGGATATACCACACCTGTCTGAAGGCACATGGGAGAGAAAATTTTTCTATTAAAGAATCTATAACAGGTTTTGCTATCCAGTACGGCATGTTTATTCTAGACTTTGTAAAGTTTTACACTAATTTATTCACTTGTAGAAACCTTTCCCCTTATCCTTGAAAGGCAGGGAGATTTTTCTTGTTGTGCATGTTTGTATGCATAACCATGATGGTGTTGTTGTATTGTACAGATGTTGGGTGTCTGGGATTGTTTGCCCTCCTTGGGTGCCTTGTAGACAGACTGGTCAAACTATGCTCTCAGGATAGGTTTTGTCTGTGTGTCTATACTGTTGTGCTATGACTAGGATGAGTAGTGTGTGTGTGTGTGTTTGTACCTGTCAGTCTGGACATTGAATAAATGCTTTATGTTTTTTCACCAGTGTTTTCTTCCAATTTGTACCTCATGATTGATAGATCTACATGTTTATTGAACTCTTGTGGGTGCTTGGATGGCGTGAATGGTGGTAGGTGTGGGTGCTTGGATGGCGTGAATGGTAGGTGTGGGTGCTTGGATGGCGTGAATGGTGGTAGGTGTGGGTGCTTGGATGGCATGAATGGTAGGTGTGGGTGCTTGGATGGCATGAATGGTGGTAGGTGTGGGTGCTTGGATGGCATGAATGGTGGTAGGTGTGGGTGCTTGGATGGCTTGAATGGTGGTAGGTGTGGGTGCTTGGATGGCTTGAATGGTAGGTCCCGCTTTCTTGACTTCCCTCTTTTGTTTGTGCTTGTCTTGCTGTTCCTCTGCACTTTATGACCGTTATGTGTTTTTGTTGATATGTTACTCTTTACTTTAACTTTACTCTACTTTAGTGGGTGGTTGGCGTGTGTTCTGGTGTGGTTTGCTCCTTCTTTCCTATCAAACATCTATTGCCCTTATCTCCCCTTTTTTATGTTTGTTACTCTTCTTTTAACAGCTCTAATCTTCGGCTCTTATCAGACCTTATTGTATTGCAAGTGCCGTAAAACACCTGCTTAAACAAAATTTGGTGATGTTTTTGTTTTTCTGTCTTGCCAGTTGTCAATCTTCTTTGTATTTCCCTGCTTAATCTCAGGGGGAGTCAACTGCTGGTTCTTCAACCTGCAGTGCAACTGATTTATTATATTTTATATACCTGTTTTTCCTACTTAGTAAAGTAAGGCCCTTTGCCTTGAGGCAGTGGGTGGTTGGCGGGTGCTCTAGTGTGGTTTGCTCCTTCTTTCCTGTCAAACATCTGTCGTCCTTCTCTCCCCTCCTTTTTTTTGTGTATGTTCCTCTCTTGTAACACATATTCTATTCTTCGGCACTTATATGACCTTGTTGTGGTGTTGCAAGTGCCGTAAAACTCTTACTAAAACTAAACGAACCTTGAGGCAGCCACGTACCAATTTCACAGATACTCTTCCTCTTTATGTTTTTATACTGACAAGAGTTTGTAAGCTTTAGTAGGACTAGGAATTCCACTGTTAATGTCCTGGATTTTTTTTTTGGTCTTGCTCTTTTTTATCTTCTCATGTCTTCCCATGTCAGTGCATGTATACTCTCTGCCTGTTTTCCGTTTCATAGAGTCGCTGTCATTGTATAGGTTTATTGACCCTTGCAACACTACTGTCAGGTTATTCAAAAGGCGGGACATGCGAGTTCAACATTCATCTCCGATGTGACCGCGCCAGATGGGCGAATGTCCTTGAAAACACTACCACTCATCATCATCATCATCATCATCATAATAATTGCATTTACATACCGCATACCCACGCTCTACAGCATAGTCTAGTCTATGCGTTTTACAACTATTATTACCCCAGTAGACCCTAATACAAAACTCAGAAACGATCCCAGCTTACCCGTTGGGGCAGTACCACTGACTAGTGACTGTAGTGTTTTAGGCCATTCCCAAAGGGGGGACATTTCTCGTTCAAGGACAGTAGAATTGTAAATGGGCTGATTCATGTCGCGCCCATAACTGCCTGATCTACAACAGGGAACTGCTGCTTTTTCTTTTTTAATCCTTACTATTGTAATTTTCCTCTACTTCTTTTGTATGCTTGTCACTCTTGTGACTTGCTATTCCGGGGTGCCTTGATAGTCGAAGCAAACCTTGTGCTGTTGAAGCTAGAGAGGTGAGCAGAATAAGTCTGATTCCCTGTAAAGACTTCTCTGTTGACACCCACCCCTTGGCGCTCATATGACCTTATGCAGTTGAGAGCGCTGTAAAACCCTCTACTATAACTATTTTTAAAAAATCCCAGCTTCTTGGGAAGTATGCGTTGCAAGCTGTGTATTTTACGCGCTCAAACACTAGCAAACTGACAAGATCTTTTGATGGGTAGGCTACTCATTCCCATCTGGGTAAAAAAGAAAATTCGTGCACAATGCTTTTCTCAAGGGCACAAGGTTGGCCCCTGGCGGGATTCGAACCCATGACCAAAGAGGCTCTCATGGCCAAGAGGTTGGTTAAGGTGTTGGCCTCTCATTCAAAGATCCCGGGTTCGAATCCGGGTAGCGACCGCAAAATTTTCTTCTCTAAAATTGTATCCTTTCACCTCCTTTCCTGCCCTAGCAATATTCTGTCGTTTGCTTTCGTCTCTACTTTCTGCCCCCACCCCTTCACCTCCTTTGTCCCCTCCTCTGGGCTCCTGACTCTTTCTGCAGCCTTTCTACTGCTACTCCTTGACTCCTTCTTGCTGTCTTTCTGCCACACCCCTGATCTTCTGGTAGGAAAGATCTACTCCTAGCCTTCTCGGACAATGGTGAAAAATCTCGGAGGGCCCGAGTGCAAATTGCGCACGTTAAAGATCCCTTGGTGGTCTAAAATCAATAAATAAGAGTAGGCTTCGGCCGCCACCCGGGCAAAATTCAAAATTTCCTACCAATTAAAAGTATTAGGTGTGTCCCGCGCGCTCATATGACCTTATGCAGTTGCGAGCACCGTAAAACACTTACCAAAAAAAAAAAAAGAAAAAGAACCCATGACCTTACAGTTGTGAGTTCGAGAGCAGGCACTGGGCCATCGAAGCCAAACATCCCAAGTTCAGGACGCCTCTATGGGGATTCGAACAAGAACCACCCGCTTCACAGTCCAGCTTTTTTATAGTATAGAGTCCCAGTACTCACTTCTGCTTCCCTATTGCACACCAACTTTTGCTCACGTTTCTTGCATTCTGATCACTTTAGGCCTTCGTATCTATGGTGTTCATGTACCCCTCAACCAACATCTCAACCGAATTGGATTAAAGCAGTCTGCTGCCTGCCCACTATGTGACCAGTGGCGGTGGGTAGTGAAGGGCTCACGGGCTTGAGCCCCTAACCCCTCCCCACCCACCACCCCCAACTCTTCTATCCCAAAGTAAATGAAAGTTTCTCCATAATGAAATAAGCAGTTGAAACCGTTATGACCTCACGCAATGAACATAGAGT